CCAGCAAATCTAGTCCTGGGTCCTTTGTGAGATATAGTGTTGCCTTTGTCTTCGCGTTTCCTATTGAAACTGTGCAACAACCCTCTCCAACAATGTTCAACTTTCCTCCAGAAGCGTTCACATACTTTCGTCAGCGGCAAATTCGTCCTCGATTTTGTGATACCAATACTTTGTTAGTTAGTATTTCTTGAGATAAAGCTTTGAAGAATGTCGTTCATGGGTTATTTCTCTGCATCTGCTTTCTTTATGGCCCTTCCGGTGACATTTACTGCAATAATGTTCTCTATATGGGCAGAACCTTTTATAGTGCCAACCTCCACACGACCAACATGGAGATGAGGGCTGATTGTCTGTGTGTGATGATCTTGAGCCGGCATCTTTCTTTCCACTTACAGCATGAACGTACGGCAACTGGCCATTATTTTCGACCATGGAACTGTCATGTTTTAAGTTTACCAATCTCTGGCACTCTGTGGTTACTTCCTGTAGTGCTATGTTTGGACATTGTTCAATTTTACGCAAAATTCTGGTTCTAATATCGGCATCTTCAGGAGATTGGAGGCTGCACACGAACACTAGACACTTAAACTGATCTTCTGTCAGTGCTGATAGTTTGAAGCGCTCACATTCACGGTTTACTAACCCTGCATGCTTCACCCAGTCATCGTCACCTGCTTTTATTATCTTGAGACATTGTTAACGAATATTAAACAAGGATGATTGTTCAGCGAATATTTGCGACAAAATTTTGATCGTTGCATCGAAAGAAAACTCTCTTGGATTCTTTGGAAAGATAAAGTTACTGTATCGTTCATGTTCAACAGTTCCAAGTTTTCGTAAGAGTATTCTGACCTTAGCAGCGTCATCAAGTTTTTTGAGGTCGATCTTGAACAAATCTTCATATTTGTTGAACCAGGTTTCAAAAGTAATACCAGCTGAAGCATCGAAATTAAATTCATGGATAGAATCGATGATGCGGTCAAAATGAGATTTGAAGGGATCATCTGCAACTTCTTTTTGATTCAGGTTCATTTTCTGGGTCAGTGTTTCTATCATGCGCATCTGGAACTGTTCGAAACGTTTTTCTTGACGTTCCAGTAACGCTTCAAGTTGTTCAAAGGTAAATGACATCTTGATATGATAACCCCGTCGTCAGTTGTTATATCTCGAAGGTTGAATACTTGATATAACGCGTATAACTGAATACAAGAACGCCAAAACCCATCCATGTCGCAAGGAGAAGACAGAAGACTAGTGAAAGGAATGTTATTCCAAACAGTGTCAATTATGGGTACAAATTGTCAGGTATTTATAGTTTTTAGTAAGAACAGAAATCATCATTATAGTCCTCCAATCCGCATACAGGGGGTTATTAGCCTTGTCCAATCAGGAAGCTACACGTAGGAATTCTAGAACATTCTTCCCAACAGTGATTGGATGGAATATCTTCGGCTCCTTCTGAGCCTCTTATAGCTTCCTCGAATTCACCTGTCGTCCGTCGTCACAGTATTAATCATTATTACTTTTGTAGCGGTAAATAAATCCCCAAAATAAACAGCTGTATAAGTCTTTGACATTGGATGCTGACCACATTAGTTTCAATGGACTTGTAGTGGCATCGGATCATAACCACACAATCCCCAAAGCTGAACACGAGACTACTCGGAAAATAGATATTCAATATTTAGCGCGGAGTCATACCAGAACAATAGAGAAGGCGGGGATAAGGAATTGAATAAATTCGGAATTAATCTTATGGCATGGCTCGGCCATGCAGGCGTGGTCTCTGCTAAATGTTACATTACATCTTTTATTCATATTAAATATATTGTTCCATCTCTAGCCTAAGACTGTTCTATATCATGTATTGATAATTATTACGATGCAGTGAGTTGGTGTAGATGATGATGTGACTTCCACGTAAGATCTTATAGATTAGGCAGTTACATTATAACAAATCCACAAATTTAGGATTAGGTCTATTATTGGAGCAGTTCTAATATCATAATAGATCATAATTTTACAGACTCACCTAGCTGAAGGTGCTCGATTATGCATCCGCACCATATCACGAGCGGAAACGCCGAACTCAACATCCTTTACAATCGCTAGCCAGATTAGATCAGTCGATCCTCGATATATTGATAACCAATCAAATATACACCAGAACCTCCCTCACTTCTGTTTTGATTTCACTAGGTGAATACGACACATACTAGGTGTTACTGGTTAAAGCGTTGTCAAACTCCAAATACATGTGGCATCTCCACTATCACCATCACAATTAGCTCAATTCTACACATTTCAACCCCATACACCTCTTTTTATCTGTTATTCTTAAAATCTTACCTGTTCACAAATTCTTTGTCTGTTGCGACTATTAGTTTCCCTTCATACCTGTAATCTTATGATATTTTATTGTCAACTTCCTAAGTGTGTATTCTAGAAACCTCATTGACACAGAACAAATGTCCTGATTTGTACCCAAAAAATATTCATTCGCAAGCATCCATCAAGTTCATAGGCGACTGGATCACCTACACTGGAAGGTACCAACGACCTGAACCTACCGCAACGTCAATAAGTGAAAACAAATAAATCAACCGCTTCACAATAATATTTTTAATTTCAATACTTGAAATCATGAGTCAACTGAAGCTAGACCACCATGGAAAACCTGGAAGCACAGGACGGCCGTTTCGTCCTAGTATGGGACTCCTCAGCAGTACGCACCGACGATCCCGCCCCCGCGAGATTCGAACCCAGGACCTATCATTCTCGCGGCAGGCGCTTAACTAACTAGACCGCTGAGCTGGCATCCAACGGTTTTAATGTCTAACTTCAACCAATCCACGAAGTTGCGCCACTGTCACGATTATCTTCAGCGAGCTGATATCTCACAACAGACCTGGTTAAACTCCAAAATATTACATTTAAATTACAATAGCTTTGGAACAGAAAAGGCTATGGCACTGAATCATACACCAAACGAAAGCTTATGATCTGCAGAATAGACTGTAGACAAAAATAAATGTTACTGTTTTACAAGCTTTGAATTAAACGAAATAAAATCCCCAAAAATAGCTCCCGTAGTTTGTTAAAGCTTCTTGTTTTTCTGTTCATATGACTAATTTTCTCGGTAGTGAATTAAATAGAGAAAAACTTGGAGTATTAGCACCAAGCCTGAACACTGAATGATCAAAGACGTCAGTAATAAGATAGAGAACGAATTGACCAGATCCCTAAAAAATCTCAGAGACCAAACAGGTAATCTCTTCAAATTTTATACGAAACAATTAGGTCGATGAGCACCGATTTACCAAGGTTATACAGACTACCGAAGTACACAAACCGGATACTATTCCCCTTATCATACTGTAGCAGTTTTATTAACAATTTTAAAACGACTCCACAAACACCTAGTTAAGTATAGTATTAAGAATATATTGTAGTCCATCGACAAGATCAAACACATAAACCCTAAAGGATAAACGATGATATCCTTATGCATAACATCATTGTTTACAAACATCTCACTCAGGGAGACTGTCCAGTATATCTATGAACAACACATGCAGACTACAATCCTTGTGGATATCATTAAGGAATGATTACTAGAAGGTACTATGAACACCAACTTCAAATTCAATGGCAAAATCTTAAAATATTTAGAAAAGAAAACCTTATTTGGTGACTAATGTTATCTATTTATTCTTGTTTGTTAGGAGGTTTTGTAAAGATTGGTCTACGGGTGACATTTATCACATTCTTTTATTAATCGAAATACTACGGAATGTCTAAGGAACATTGAAAATATATTTATCATGCGGTAATGCACCTCAATACATCACTAAGTATCATATATAGATTTTCAAGTCTCGAGGAGAGCGCTTGTTACTATTAGAATAGTTGTGATAAAAGCCGTAACTATACACTCCCTGACCGAGAACAACATGGGGTCTCTTTAAAATCCATTTGGATCCTTAGAGTTTGAAGAAAATAATCTTTGTCAATAAAGACGAATTTATATGACGTTCCTTTAATTTTTAGGCAATTTATTCTGTAGATGTAAATAGATCCACAAAATGTGTAAAGTCAATTTATCCTATGTGATATTATTGTTTTTCTCTTCATAAACTACCCATTTGCAAAAGCTGTTTTGTGATGGACTAAGAGTTAAATTCGCGTGGTATTGTTTGGCTTGTATCTTCCTATTGAGGTTTAAGACTGCAATTGATCAGTCTGTTATTGACATATGTGCATACTGTGCGTATGCTTCGATATTGCCTTAATTCACAAGCTTTTTGTAAGCTATGATGAATAGTGGCTAGCAGTGGAATCCAGGACGTACGTTTCGTCCTATTTGGAACTCGTCAACTGGATGTACCTGCATCTCAGAGTTGATGTTCACTCTGGGACACATATGCCAATAACAGACTGATCAATTGCAGTCTTAAACCTCAATGGGAAGATACAAGCCAAACAATACCAAGTGAATTTAAATTCACCCCGTCGCACAAGCAAGTGGCTATCAGGACTCAGTAACGCGATGACGTTTGAAGCGAATCGTACTGGGTTCGAGTCCCAGGGTGAATATCAACTCTGAGATGCAGGTACATCCAGCTGACAAGTCCCAAATAGGAAGAAACGCGCGTCCCGGATCCCACTGCTAGCCACTATCCATCAACTGAGACATGTTTTCAATCGAGTTCTTCACTTAAGCGCGTTTTAGATCCAAGAAGTAATTGAAATCATACTGGAAATAGATATTGGTATAGAACAAAATAATCGATGACTTTTGACTGACCGTTCAACTTGTCCGCAAAAATAACTAACAGTTCCATACACGGAAAGTGATATGATCACAGTAACAATATAATAAATAAATAATAATGCATCTTATGGACCTCTTTCCCATGAGCTGTCAACTATAACGTCTAGCATATTCGTACAAAAGGAGTTAATCCCTCAAAACTTTCCATTATATTAAAACACAGATATATGGACGAAGAATATCCTCTTTAATAAATTCTTTTCAGGTACTCTAGAGTTATAACTTCACCTGTAGCTCTTCTATGGTTACTGCCGTTCCCAAGCCCCGGTAAAAGAGGGTGGGGCGTAGGGGTAAAATACACCGTTTAAAAATTCTAGCATGTGAATTTAGGACTATAAAATAAGATCTATGATGCTGCAATGACTAGTGTGAAGTGTTGACTTCAATAAGTTTATACGTTAAATGAAATTGTGTGACAAATGATTAAAATAAATATGGTTAACATGGAATGAGAGAGATAATAATGAAATAACGTAAAATGTAGAATAGCATGAAGAACAAACGTGTTCAACTAATCAGAAACCTAGGAAACAAAACGGTTGAGTCCCAGAGTGAACATCAACGCTGGGATGCAGGTACATGCAGCTGACGAGTCCCAAATAGGATGAAACGCGCGTCCTAGACTCCACTGCTAACCACCATCCATCATTGCTTATAAAATGGACTAAGAGTTAGTTGAAAATTTTGCACAACTGTTTTAAGCTCGTCTTGTATATACTAACCCGTTTTTTATCACGATGTATTATTTCAAACAAAAAAACAATTATCGAGAAGATATGAAATAAAGAAGGTGGGTGAGGGGGAAAAGTACAAAAGAAGGTTAATTTTACTACAATAGCATAAAGTAAAACAAAATGTACACTTTTTCATATTTCGTATTGTTATTGTAATTTTTGGGTAAAACTGATAAATATTAGGTTTCTTTATTGGATTGTGCGTAACTTTGTATGTTGAAAATAATGGGTGTGATTTTATATAGAAACGAAGAAAGAATAAAGTATATGGATAGCAAAACACAAACAAACAAAGTTGACAAATCCAAGTTTATATATGAGTGTACGTGTGTATGTATACAGAGATACATATAGATACACGTGTAACAGATGTTTTAATTGTAAGCAAGCTAACTGTTATGTTGAGTTTTACGCTCACGGATAAAAAGTAGTTAAATAAAAACAAACTTCTCTAGAAAGGAAAATACACACAAATTTCTTTTGCAAATGAACTAGATAACTCTTCTTTAAAAAAAGAAGACATACTTGATGCCGAGCCGTTGTTAATGGTGAATAACAATAGAACATTTTTTTAGATATGGTAAACGGTAACTGTTACTGTTATAAATAGATCATGATCGAAATGACAAGTCATATCAGTCAGTGGTATTGATAACTTCAAAGTTGTTTAACTATTTTGAACGGTGATTAGGAAAATAGTGAGGTGGAAAATTGTCACAACAATAGAAAAGATTTAGTTGTGCAATATTCTACTCATGTTTTTTATGTATAATCACACAGTTTGATGTTGATGAGGAGGAATAAAAATATGACGAATCATATGCATGCATATTATGAGGGATGTATTGTATGGATTTATATTGGAACAGAAAATGTTGATATTCCCTGACATTCTATAAATGTGTCTTTGTGAAGATTTGTTTTAAGAGTGATCAATCTAAATTGAACAAGCACCCATATTCTGTATTTATGTGGAGTAGAAAAACAAATGAAAGACTCAGAACAATTTTTCTTTTCACATGGTTAAACAAAAATGCTGCTGACGTGTTATGAATGACACATGGATTATTTAACATAAATCATAATTCAGAAACAAACAATAAAATGAATCAACAAGTGAAAAGAATTATTTCAGTGAACTTGTGTGCATGTGTGCGAAAATTGTTTATGGGAATGTAAACATTACACACAGAAAACGAAAGTGTTCTATAGGTATGCAATCTGAGTATAATGTTAAAAGTTAATGGGGAATAAAAAGGAAAATACCCTTAAGTATTTACACTTATACTCATTCAAACACCGAAATGCTGTTTATATATGCACACAAAGAGAGAGATCCAAGGTAAAATGAATAAATATACAGTTTTAAGGTAACTGGTGCCACGAAGTCGAAATGAAACATTTTCGAAAGAGTGATCAATGTCTAATGAATTGCTATTTATTTGTTTATTTTAACGAAGCTCATTATTTTCGTCTTTTTCTATTAATAAACAATTAATTGCTGAAGATTAATACATAAAAATAGGTAAGGGATGAAGAAATTAAGAAAGACCGAAATAACCGCAAATGTATTGATACTTTTTTATATTGATAGATTGAATAATTTGGTTTTAAACAGAATGAAATCGGACAACTAGACACAAACAAGCAAACAAACGGATTCCTGTATAAATTTCATAAGAAAGTCTGGTGACGGAGACTTACCAAACTAGTAAAGGAATAAATCTTTCTTGTTATTTTTCCAAAATATTTTGTTGTTTTAATGTATGTTGACTTATTGTTTCCTCTTCTTCATAAAATGAATTAATTAGTCTATTGACTGACTAGTCAGTAGTAGAATTAGAAAAGTTGAGCTCTATGCTTTAAATCATTACGTTTCCATTCCGGAAGACGATAAAATGCTGTTCGAGATAAAGCGAAAACCTGTTGAAATTCTTCATCGGATAAATGTGTCTGAAAAGTGACAACAATAATGATGTTAATAACAAAGACAAATGAAAAGCGTGTGATGGTGAGAGAGGGAAAGACAAAATTGATGTGTGGCCAGCGAAAGTGTAATTAATTTCTAAGTGTGAAAAAATAGGCACTCAGCTTACAATGACTATTAAGTATGTGATGTTCTTTTCTGTTATATTGATTTATTCTCTGGATTCATTAGATGTGGAATGCTTGTAATTGTGTGAAATAAAGTATTACTTTGGTTCTCTATATTTGGTTATGAATCTTGTATTTGATATAACGTGGTTTAGTCTGTTACATAGCATATCTTTCGAGTATCCAATCTAGCGTTAATATGCTCTCGGTAACCAGTTTTATCATCGTATTAACGAAGTATACCAGACAGAAAACGATTTTAATTTTTCCATTATATCAAAAACGTATAACCAAGATTATTCAAGTGTGATTTATTCATAAGTATTGATACCGATAATCATCAGATGTACAGTCGACGAAGTTGGGCTGAACAAATGAATTTAATATCAGTCAAATATCTGATATAGAATTACAAAGTATGAGTCACTAAAATTATAATGAATATCGCGAATTCATTGAAGTTAGAATATGTAAGCCAGTGGATCTCTAAAGGTTAGAGTACATTGGCTGAAAACCGTGAAGATATCGGGTTCGATCCCTACCGAAATGGTAGTTAGGGCTGTGAAGTCGGCTTTTCGAGAACTGCAACAGAGCCTCCAGAGGCCCTGAAGGAGCCAAAGAGTCTTAGCCAATCAGAGCACAATGGAGCTTTCTAGAATGCCAACATGGCGTGCTACTATTGGTCAGTAGCATAATATGTCTTCAGCGGATTGGCCAAAATATGAAGTTGATTTAACAAATGTTAACATCTATAAATACCCATGTTTTTCTGTACAAGAATGAACCTTGGAGTAAAGTACTTTTCGCATACTTTGTGCCTTCTCTCTCGTGTTCAGGTCGCTGTATAGTTCTAGCTTGGGGGTTGCGGAATAGCTTAGGAATCGAGCATAGCGTTCAAAATCGCAAGACTTATCAAGGGCCTAGCACTGAGGAGTCTCATACTAGGACGAAACAGCATGTTTAATGCTCCTTGGTCGCTTAATTAGGATCAGTTCTAGACGCAAACTATGGTGAATATCTCTTTATTAATTAAAAAGTACGTTAGCCTACTAACTACATAGTGAATAAAGTTAGCCTATGATTATGCGGTCGATAACTAATAGAATAAGTATTGGGATCATTTAGACTAGTGACCACAATTCAACTTTATCGATGGGAATTCGATCAGCACTAAAGGCTGGCCAATCAATTGTGATTAACTTAGTCCTATAGAAGATCATAGGTGACCAGAATAGAACACCTTTAATAAATGCACATTGTTGTGGGATTCTATACTAGGAAGAAAACGACGGCTGTCCAGTGTTTTCTAGTTTTTAACGGCTTTCTAACTCAGGCCAGTTCGTGATATAAACTCTGATATTATTCTGCACTGTTTATGTATAATGAAGCTGTTTGGAGAATATTAATGCGGTAATTTGTAGAATTTCTTTTATACTTCTTGGAATTGGTTTAGAGTTGATGTTTGACAATTGTTTGTGTCCAAATATTAAGACAAATAAGCACATTTTCCATTTCTTTTCTTTATTTCTGTTTATGAAAAGATTATATTCTTTTACTAATGAATCATTATTGAAACAGTCTCTAGAACAAGATGCATGATATAGAGAAGCTCAACTGACCCGTGCATACATTATGAAATTATTTACCTAAGTGTCCTTATTTTTAATTAATCGAATAAATTTATCTCACGGAAATATAATCAATCGAATTAGCTTGAGAGTAATCATCATAAGATAGCGAATATAAAAATCAGGTCAATTGTCTGAAATTTTAGCTAATTTTCTCCCTCTCTTTCTATCGGATTGTCACTTGCTTTAACTTATGTTTTGTTGTTATTATTGCCAATCTCACGTCTGTATTTTTTTGTTCCAATGTTTCCATACTAATTCATTCGTGAGTTATGTGGAATAATAATAAATAAGTGTTACGTTTGCATGTGTGACAGTGAATAATCCATCTGTTGAGTTTTATTTTTTTGGACATTTAATAGGATGGTCACATGGGCTCCAGGATGCTGAAGGCACAGATTAACGACAGCCGAATGAGAGCAGAGAAAGTAAAGGCATATACTAAATACACAGAGGAAAACATGCAAGTAAAGAAGAGCATTGGAGCCGACAAGCAGAAACATGTGAAGGATCTAGCAACGACAGCGGGTAAAGCTGCAAGAGAAGGAAATACGAGACAACCATGCGACACAACGAGAAGAATGTCGGGGAATTGTAGTAAACTGGAGTGACCAGTCAAAGACAAAGGAGGTAAACCATCACTGAGGTTCAAGAACAGAGGAAGAGATGGGTAGAACACTTTGAGGAACTCTTAAATAGACCAGTTCCACTGAAACCACCGGAGATCGAAGCAGCACAACCTTTCTATAGCTTTCACGCCACCGACGATCAAAGATATCAGCATGATCATAGACGAATAAAGAGTGAGAAAGCAGCTGTACCTGACAATATACCAGCTGAAGCACTGAAGTCAGGCACAGAAGTAACTACAAACAAGCTCCACGTTCTATTTGGGAAAATTTGGGAGAACGATCAAGTGCCGACAGGCTGGAAAAAAGGATATATCACCAAAGTACCAAAGAAAGATTTTAGCAAATTTGGGGACTACGGCGGCATCGCGCTACTATCGATATCAGGAAGTTTTCAACAGAATGTTGTTGAACTGGGTGAAAGATTCAATAGACGCCCAACTTCGAGATAAACAGGCCGGATTTTGTAAGGACCGATGGTATACACAACATGTCGCGACATTACGAATAATCGTTGAGCAATGGAATTTTCCACCATACTTTAGCATTCTTGACTATGAGAAAGCATTTGAAATTGTGGATAGGGGAACCTTATCTAACCAATTTTGACAATATGCAGTAACTGAGAAAATCGTGATACGACGAGCTACGCTCCAAAGTCGTGCATGGAGGACATCTGACAAATGCATCCCAAGTGAGGACCGGTGTTAGACAAGGGTGCTTAATTTCGTCCTCCCTCTTTCTTCTGGTGGTCGAGTGAATTATGAAGACCTCGACATCTGAGCCAAAACACGGAATACAACGGACAGCTCAAAATCAATTAGACGATTCGAACTTCGCAGATGACCTGAAGTTTCTATCCCATACACACGAACAAATGTAGATGAAGACAACTAGTGTAGCAGCAACCTCTGCATCAGTAGGCCTCAAAATACAAAACGGAAAAGCAACATCCTCAAATACAACAGGGAGAACTACAACTCAATCACATTTGATGGAGAAGCTCTAGAAAGGTAGAAAAGTTCACCTACTTGTACAGCATCATCAATGATGTAGATGTAAAGGCAAGGATTGGCAAAACAATGACAGCACTCCTACAGTTGAAGAACACATGGAACTCAACAACAACTGTCAGCCAATATCAAAGTCACAATCTTCAATACGAACGTCAAGACAGTTCTACTATACAGGTCTGAAACTTCGAAAACTACTAGAACCTTCATCAATAAAGTACAAGTACTCATAAACAATTATCTACTCAAGATACTCAGTGTCCGTTGGCCAGACACTATAAGCAACAGCCTACTATGGGAGAGAATAATCCAGCTTCCAAATGAAGAGGAAATTAGGAAAATACATTGGAAGTGGATAGGATACACATTGAGGAAATCATCAAACTGCATCACGAGGCAAGCGCTAACTTGTAATCCTGAAGAGAAACGGAAAAGAGGAAGGCCAAAGAACACAGTGCGCCGAGAATCGGAAGGAGACATCAAAAGAATGAATAGCAACTGGAAAGGATTGCTCAGGACAGAGTTCGATGGAGAATCCTGGTGGGCGGCCTACCCTTCTCTACAAGTGGTAGCAAGCGTAAGGAAGTAAGTAAACCAAAAAACAGACACACCAGTTTTGTCCTAATTTGAAACTTCTCAATAGTATCCGCCCATGACCCCAACTATGACTCAAATATAGAAAGTTTAGGCATTATATAAAAACACGCCGACATGAATTATTCGTATGTTTTCCACTTATATGTGATATTTTGTATTTTCGCTTTGAACCAAAATACTACGACCACCATAACCAGTGGTAAGTTAACTTATAATAAACTTTTATTGTTATACCTTATCTAATTTAGATCAGTTAAACAGTACTTTTTCAGAATAAAGCATCAAAACCGACCAAGAACGCTACAGATTACCACACAAGTTGGATAAGCTAATCAGTTAGTGTTGGTTCGAATGGCTTTCCTCAAACTTACTTAATGCAGTGATCAACGGTACATGCTGTGGTTGGCAAATAGACTTAGGATATGTAGGTGGTACCGTGTGAGAAAGTTTTTTTTAGTTACTGTGCTTACAAAACCTCATCGACGAACCTAAACCTTTGTTTTAACCGAGAACATATTATACTTAAGCTGAATATTGTATACTGGATGTAGATTGCATGATGGTCAAAAATAAAGACAAGACTACAACTCAGTAATCAAACAGTAACATAAGAGATAGACCAGTATGTAACTCAACAGTTTCTCAAAACGGAAACCATGAATAGCATCGAAATGATGTCAACCCACACTATTTGGGCATCTCAACATAGGAAAAAAACAATTATTCATTGTTATCTCTCTTTAAATTCAATGCAATTTACCCATTCGTAAATAGGGGTCATTTTGAAATTGCTTAATTCCAATAATCGTTACTGGTGCTCCTGAACTTCTAATGAAAAGTCATGACATGTGGCGTTCAGAAATACTATGGTGAAGCAACTGTTTACTGATTCCTGGTTTTCAGTAGTGGCGTAACTATGACCAATTCGTGATTTAAACTATGAACATTTCACTATCTCCACAAACATCCCTGAACTAAATATTGGACAAAAAACCGATTATGTACCAAAAAACTAACCTCTACAGCTGTACGATCAATTCCTTTGGGATAAATCCCTTTATATTCTTTCAGTTTTTCATATGGTATCAACTGAAAGGAAAAAATATGTAGTAAGGAATTCTATCTCTAGAAAGCAACCAATATCAATCAATAAAAATTCAACACATTGCACAGGCCAGTGGCTATCTGAACTTAGTAGATAAGTGGATAACGCGTTGAGTATTTGAGAATAGTGGTACTGGGTTCGAGTCCAAGAGTGGACATCATTACGGATGCAGGCGCATCTAGATAACGATTCTGTTGTGATATCCAGAAAAATATCCCAGAAATCATCCTGTTAAGTCTAATGCTATCCCTGAATGTGAAATGGTGTCATTTCCCTACTGGTCAATATTTATTTCACGTGTCATTTTCCTGTTGATCAACATTCACGATAGTCCTAACTGTATAAATATGCATTTGTCTGTAAATTCTTCTTCTTCTCCTGACCCCATTAACAATTTTCATCTAACGGTTCGTGTTCTGATATATTGGAGGTTGGGGAACAGTATTGAGGTCGTACTGGGATATCTGCAGTTGGTCAATCGGTAGAATTTAGAGTAGTCACCACGCGAACCACAATAGAGTCTCAAGTGGAATGAATTACACATTCTGAGCTACTCTCCTAGCCATCATCCCAATCTGCTTAAAATGGTTGAAATAGATTTGATAATAAGACACACCAACTGTATTAACCACGATATACTTACTTGAGGTAAAGATGATTTCTTATGAGATATAGCACTTGGTGATGATGATGAAAACTGAATAGTGGGATGACTTGAACTAGATTCAATCAAACGACGATCAGCATCGAAATCTTTACCGTTGATTGAATTTATCAGATTATGCTGTTGTAGATATTGTGATGAATGACCATTTAGTATCGAAGTAGTAGTACTACTATGTTTAACTCCATGAAGTATACTAGTAGTATGTATTGATTTATTGCGATGATCGGATGTTGGTGAATAAATTCGTAGTGAATCACTGGTATTTGATTGAGTATGATCAGGTTTGCTTAGTTGCAGATTGCCGTTTAACAATTTCGCTGTAATGGAAACAATAGCAATAATCATAATAAATAAAGGAATTTAATTTATTTTATAAGTTGTATTCATCACAGATTGATCTCGGTCGGGGTAACATTCAGTGGGCATATGTTTCATCTTAGTATATGACTGATCATAAGTATGCACCTACGACCTCTCAGAGAATCAAAAACCCAAGACTTCCAGGCCTTGCTACCAATGCACAACAATTGAAAACACTGAGTTAGCGTTTATTTCCAAGCTCTACCATCGTTATGTGCCGGAAATAGTTCTTATTCATGGGATTTATCGTTGACAAAAATAAAGATTATTATCAGAAGGGGTTTTGTGGAGATTGTAGTAATTTCATTGATTAAGATCATGAGTCAGTTGAAGCTAGACCACCATGGAAAACCTGGAAACACTGGACGGCCGTTTCGTCCTATTATGGGACTCCTCAGCAGTGCGCATCCACGACCTCGCCCCCTGCGAGATTCGAACCCAGGACCTACTGGCTTCGCGCGCGAGCACTTAACCACTAGACCACTGAGCCGGCATCCAACGGTGTTAATGTCTAACTTCAACTAATCCACGAAATTGAGCGACACATCCACCATTGTCTTCAGTGAGTTTCTATCCCACAACAGACCTGGTTTGAACTCCACTGGTCACTACTTCTCACTAGAACTCCAGGATATACCTCTTGAAGCCAGTCACTAATGAGCATATGTTGATTATTATCAGAAGGGGTTTTGTGGAGATAATAATCAACATATGCTCATTAGTGACTGGCTTCAAGAGGTATATCCTGGAGTTCTAGTGAGAAGTAGTGACCAGTGGAGTTCAAACCAGGTCTGTTGTGGGATAGAAACTCACTGAAGACAATGGTGGATGTGTCGCTCAATTTCGTGGATTAGTTGAAGTTAGACATTAACACTGTTGGATGCCGGCTCAGTGGTCTAGTGGTTAAGTGCTCGCGCGCGAAGCCAGTAGGTCCTGGGTTCGAATCTCGCAGGGGGCGAGGTCGTGGATGCGCACTGCTGAGGAGTCCCATAATAGGACGAAACGGCCGTCCAGTGCTTCCAGGTTTTCCATGGTGGTCTAGCTTCAACTGACTCATGGTCTTAATCAATGAAAAATAAAGATATTTTTCTGTTGTGTGGGCGAGAACGATCGTGATTGGTTGTCTGCTTAGTCAGACATGTGGACAGTCTGACAGGTGTCAGATAAGTTATATATTCTCTTACCCTTATTATTGTGACACACTCATTCTTATTTACATTATTATTGATTGTTCATTGTTGTGGATTGTGTCGGGTTTTTGGGTGTGAAAATATATTACGTTCTGGTCAGGCTGATTACGTGTTCTTGATCTGAGTTGTGTTGAAGTCCTGTAGGATAGACACTGGGAGGGATCTAGTGTAGATAATCGTTAAGCGTTACAACATCAAAGTAATACCGAGCGTTATAACAACCGACGACGGAACGTTATAACAACTGGCGACGGGTTAAAAAAATAACGAACCTAAAGTACAAACCACAAGTTATAACAATTGCCGACGGTGATTAAAACGGATCTATGTCTACATATTCAGTTAAAGTGGATTTTATAATAAAATGGATGATCTGAAAATCTTATTGCAACAGCGAAATTCTCTTATCGAATTATTGGTGAAAAATATGTCAACATCATCAAGAACCCATGTATCTAATCCCACTATGACTCCGGATTCTATTGCGAACTCAATAGATGAGGATTTATTTATTATTGATTGTAAAGAGTGGGATGAAGGCTCAAAATTGAGATTATTATTACGTAAGCTCGGAGTTTCGGAACACCAAAAGTTCTGTAATTTTATCCTTCCAAAAAAGCCAACCGACACAACCTTCACAGAAACAGTTGAGTGCCTAACACGCATATTTGGTGAACGATCCTCAGTTTTTCATACTAGATTCCAGTGTCTTGAGCTTGTAAAAAAAACCTCAGGACGATTACATGACATATGCAAGCATTGTGAACCGGGAATGTGAACGGTCCCGTTTACAAGAAATGTCATCAGATCAATTCAAATGCCTTATTTTCGTATGTGGGTTACAATCTGCCGCAGATGCAGATGTTAGAACACGTATTTTAACGCGAATTGAACAAGATCCTAATATTAGTCTGCAATTAGTATCTGAAGAATGCCAAAGAATGGTTAATCTGAAGCATGACACCAGTCTAGTAGAAAAGAACAATGAACATGTGGAAGTTAAAACCTTGTAGAAAGCTTTTAATGGAAACAAGGATCAGTACTCTTACCGAATTCCAAAGCAAACGAAACCCAGAATGTGTTGTTGGCGGTGTGGTAAGCGCCATTCTCATAATGTTTGTTATTTTAAAAAAAGAGTTTGTTTTCGATGTGGTAGATACGGTCATGCTCAAGTATGTTGTAAAAGGAGACAAAAGATTGTCGATCATCAGAGTAAGGCTCGTAAAGGAAATAAGACGCAGATACCGAAAGAAATCCCACATAATTCGAGTGTCATTCTGACCACAAAAAGTGCTCATTTTTCATCTAAAAGGAAATATGTAACTCTATTTTTCTGTGGTAAACCTATTAAGCTGCAAGTTGATACGGGGTCCGACATAACATTAATTTCTAGAAAGACGTGGATAAATCTTGGTCGACCTCGATATCATCCTACATTTTACAACGCTAAGAGTGCAACAGGAACAAATATTACTCTTCTTGGTGAAATGCAGCTACCTCTCACATTAGGTGACAAGACTATGACTGGGAAATGTTGTGTCTGGGAATTGTCATATCAACTTACTAGGTATTGACTGGATAGATAAACTTGGTTTATGGGATTCGCCGTTGAGCACTGTTTGCAATATGATTAATTCACCAGTACCTAAATCGTTTTCAAGGTTAATTGCTAATAACCGCAAGTTAGAGGAAGATAGCGTGGTTGAGTCTATATCAATTGAACCGGAAATAAAACGAGTGTTCTGTGCTGCTATTAGAATCCTACCAGTAACGGCGGAAGCGGTTAAAGAAGCTACGGCTAGTGATCCTCTACTCAAAAGAATAAAAGGAGCTGTTTTAAATGGTTGGAAAGAGGATAAGGCTGATCGAGAATTTCACCAATTTTTTCTGAGACGTGAGTCTATATCGATTTATGATAATTGTTTAATGTTTGGCGATTGTGTTGTTATCCCTAAATCTCTTCAGTTTTTTGTGCTTAGACAGTTTCACATTGGTCATCCGGGAATGAACAGAATGAAAGCAATTATGCGTAGTTATGTCTACTGGCCATTCATGGATAAGGCTGTGGAAGAACTGTATTTTGCCGAAGGTGCAAAAGATCCACCGGAGGTAGAATCCCAGCCATGGCCAGAAACGAAAACGCCTTGGGTTCGACTACACGTCGATTATGCTGGACCAATAAATGGACAATATTTTTTGGTGGTGGTAGATTCATACTCAAAATGGCCTGAAATTTATGTTGTGCGAAGACCGTCTACGTCTGAAACACTGTTACATCTCAGACAACTATTTCGTAGGTTTGGGACACCTAATGTTTTGGTTTCAGATAACGGGACGCAGTTCACGTCGTCAGAGTTTGCGGAGTTCTGTAAACAAAATGGAATCGAACACATTAGAACTCCACCGTATCACCCTCAGTCAAATGGGCAAGCAGAAAAATTTGTTGATATTTTGAAGCGAGCTCTCTTAAAGATGGGAGAAGATAATGTAGAAGAGGCTCTGCAACAGTTTCTAATTTCTTATAGAATCACACCGAGTTCAAACTGTCAAGACGGGAAATCACCAGCCGAAATAATGTTTGGCCGACCAATTAGAACATTCTTGAATGTTTTGAATCCGAAAGACAGAGTGTATGGACTACAAAAAAATAAGGAAAGGAATTATTCGAAGATTCGAGAGTTTAAAGTAGGTGACTTAGTTTATGCACGTGATTTCCGGCCTGGGAAGCCGAAATGGATATTTGGATGTATTAAAAAAAGACGTGGGACAGTATTGTATGAAGTTATGGTTGAAAATACACTAATTATCAGACATATCAATCAACTGAGAGACAGAAGAAATGTTTATGAGTCACCTAAAGTCAAATCTTTACCAATCGAAGTATTATGTGATACTTTTAATATCCCACCTCCACCACAAGTTGAAATGAAAAAAATGAACTGAAATCAGATGCCAGTCGAAAATCATCACGTGAACGAAAACAAACAAGATTAAATATCTTAAGTGCTAGGATGAAACAGTGATTCATGGCTTGTAATAGTTGTGTAATTAAGTTCAGTTCATGATGTAAACTATGAAAATCCAACAACCACCAAAAATCCACTGTCGATAATAATAATTATTAAACAATACCATAATTGAGACAAACAAACAGATGAAATAAACTAGGTATAATTTTTTGTTGCTGTTCAAACCTACTTCCATTCACATCCAATTGATGTGAAAGATTAGAATGACGATTCAGCATTACACCTTTAGATTTATTTAACAATATTTGATTGGTAGATTGTTGTCTAATACCCCCATTTCCAACTGACAATGATGAAGTTGAATAATTCATTGATAATATTTTATTCTTTAATTGATCGTTGCAAGATAATTGACCACCAGTGTAGCCAGGTTTAATTGAACTACCTAATTATACAATGATAATAGTAATAACAATACAGAAGACAAAATTATGCAATACTTCACAGAAATCTTGAGTAGTTATATTATTACATTAGTTCAAAAGAGACCAGTTCGTCTATTGTTTTTTTGGTACGTGCCAGTTTTTTAATGGATAACCTCTTTTTTTTGGTATCCTGCCTATATTAAATGTCTCCAGGTCACTAAATATTACGGTGATAAGAGAGTTGTTACTATTCAAACGTAACTTCTGTACAGAATGTAAAGTTATCCTGAAAGTCTCATCTCTATTAACGAATGGATTATTAAGATTAAAGTGTTCATACGTGGCAGACGTCTAACTCAGTCGAGTTCCAATTCATTGAGTTGCACTAAAAGAATCCTCAACCACTCGTATGTAGAATTTACCGTCGGTCAACCGCAAACCCAAAACCTTAATCGTTCTCGTTACTATACAATACAAAGTTTTGATATTAGGTGGTTGAGGGTAGTCAATCCACACTAAGAATTATTTATTTATTTTAACACATGGATATCGGTACAAGAAGGCATCAAATACATATGCGCCACACAGATCTCATTTGATATGTGTGAGGGCTGTGATACTGACCGGGTGCCCAAACTGAAGCAGGTGGTTTTCTTAGGGGGCCACACCCCAAGCCTTTGACCTGAAGATCTGATCCACAAGACAGTGGAGCATCGTGAGGAGATGCAGTCCCATGGTAGCCGGTGACCAACGATTGGTTCATACGCCATTTGTTCTCGCAGGATACTGGAGCCCATGTGCACCATTGGTTTGGGGTCCGGTTAAAGTGCCGGACACTCGCTTTTCGTCCTCTCATTTTCGTAAACAACACCCGTGGTGCGAGAAGGCAGTGAGTAGGACTTCCCTGGCAGGGGCTGTATACGCGTGGCCATGTGAGAGCATTTCGAGAGGGAGAGTGGACTATCCCCACTCTCGGCCGTACCAGGGCATTCGGGGGCACACTAAGAATTGGGTGGCAGCCAATTTCATATTTGTCCAACGACAAGAAAGTCACTACCTGAATAGCTTAGAGATAACTTCTCAGACTGTGAAGCTGCATGATTCGGATCCCACGGAAATTCAGTCCCCTCAAGGTTACAAATGCACGTTACTCAGATGAAACTATTGGTTGTTGAGTAGAATCTTGGTGGCAGATGCAGACCATCTGGTTGGGGTGTATACGGCTATCGTAATCAGCAGTTGTAGATATTGGGTAGCACGGTCTATATTTATTTTTTTTACTACCACCGATACTATTATTACTTCTTTTACTCTGGCAATTATGACCAACACACGTATATGCTAGGTTCTCAGTTGCTTACGACTAACTGAATGTATACGTTGTCATTATTAATGATGCTTGTCAATCATTATGTTTACAATCAGAAATAATTACCGGCGATAAATTATTATTATTAATGGCTTTATTCAATATTATATTTCGGTACAATATAGAATTCTCAGCACAGGTCACAACATAAGTTTAAATAAATACTAGGAGGTGACATAAACAACGTTAACACATACACACAACCACAGCTAAATGCACACAAAATTGTAGATTTTTACGAGCTGAGACAAATTACAATAAATCAAATTGTTGTGTTTTGTTAGACTGTGTCGGATAATTTGTTTATTGGTTAAACATTTTATTTTGATGACTCAGTGATATCGTTAGTAACAATAGGTAACTCACTACAAATACTGAGGAACCTTATTAAAAATCATGTATTAAAATATGAGATAAACTATTCGAATGAATTGAAATAAGTGGATTTGTGGAGATCAATTTTATTTGCAATTGTGATTTCACATAGATTAACCGTTTTCTAAGTTAGGATACTGATGAAAACCAGTCGCAGTCGGATAGCTGGTCGTTCTAGTACAAGACTCTTCAATAGTATGCACCTAACATTAAGAGATTAAAATCACTTCAAATCTTTCTTTCTAGGAACTAATTCTTTCTTCCTGTACTATCTCCTTATACACAATCTTTCTTCTGTATATTACCACCACTGAATTAACTACTTTTATGAATCCAGTGTTCATCTTGTTGTGCTAATGCGGTATGGCAACTTGGACCGATGCAGATATGTGCCTGGTCTTACGTTACAGCTGACTGACTGAACATCGGGTGGCCAATTGCTTTGTATTGTGGATTGATTGAAGTTGGAAATGTGTACACTTTGATGTCAAATCAATGGTCTACTGATTAAGCGCTCAATGATAAATCTGAAAGTCCTGGGTTTCAGTCATTGATAGTATCGGATGTGCACATTACTAGTAAGGAATTGAATACTAGGACGAAACAACTGCACTTTGTTATTTGAATAAATGTTTGCTTTGTTTGACTAAATCATTAAAAATAATTTTGTTATGATTTGAAGAAAGTTTTGAGAAAATTTCGACAGAAGTTAGAAACATGAAAACTAACATGATACCAAGTGATCTCTTTTAGACAGTGAGTGTTATTGTTAAAAAAAATGTTTACTTTTTTGAAAATAATTCACTCGAAGGAATAAATCTAGTCACATTTTTTAAACATAACCGCTGATTAGGTTCAGTCAAGTAAAGCAGTGAACTACTACAGAAAGAATGAAACTTTTAGATGTGTTGTGCTCTCTGGGCTAATTATTTTTACTGCGAATCCTTTCTAATCTTTTTAAGTAAATTTATCTTCGCTTTTTATTTAATTAATTCACACAAATCCTAGTACAACTGAGCAGGAAAAGAAATAGTGTCACTCGTTCAGGATTATGAGGCTCATGTGTACCATTAGGAATAGGAGTTTTCCAACTTCCATAGAGAGGCTCAGTATCAAACTACCCATTTTGAGTGAGACACGTTGGATTTTTGATCCATCAATTTCGTAAAGAATACCTCTGCTGCATGAAGGTAGTAAGTAGGAGTCTTCCCTAGCAGAGGCTATAAACACATGACCGTGTGAGAGCATTACGAGAGGGAGAGCGGACTTCTCTCACTCTCGAACGTACCATAACATTTTTGGAGATAGAAAAGTGCTTACCTTACTTAGATCATACTTTCAATGAGGATTAAATATTGTGAGATATATATATATAACAACTTGTTATCAGATATTTAAAATTTATAAACATATAAGCTATTGAATGAAACATGGCGTATTTTAGGATTTGTTTCAATACATTGACAGTATTACTGTTTCTAATTCCATGTCGGTCACATAAATAGTGATAGCTTGTAAGTATATTCAATAAGGGTTAGGTAAAACTGGATTGTTGGTAATAGTCGAATGTAGAACATGGGATGGGATACGTGTCTGTAAATTTGTAGTGCATCTGCTTTTCAACTATCAATATTGACAAGTCCTCCAATTGAACAAACCATTCGATTTCCTAGCCATTTCTAATATTCAGAGGCCGAATTTACCCGACAATCCGAATGCAAGAGAAAAGGCGCGAAGTGCAAAAAGAACGCTTTACTCCAAGCTTAATTAAAGTACAGAAAAACAAGGGTATTCATAATGTTATATATTGCCACAGTTGGACTTTACTAAAATAGATCCAACAATTATTGAAGATAAGCATTATAGTGTTATAAAAATATTTCCAAGTGAAAATTCTTCAGTTTATCAAAAATATTTCTCTTAAGACATAAAATACAAGTGACGAAATTTTTCCAACAAATTATTTGTATTGACTCTACATTAATTAATGAGTTGCTTTGTTTTAATATTATTTTCGTCATAAACGGTTATCTCTTAGATGATTATTTAGGAACGAGAGAGAACTGAATAGTTATTTCAACTTCGCCTTCACATTCTTTCTTAGCAGGAATGAGATACGAAATCACTAAAAGTTGTGTTACTGGAGAGCCTATAAGACTTGCAATTCACATTTCCAACGTCAATCAATTCACAACATTGTGAGACAATCATCCATCCAATCATATGCAACATGATTGAACTTTACTGGTCACAGGTTTTCACTGGAACTTTGGGATTTACCTCTTGAAATTAGTCACTATTACGTACATGATTTGAATTGACAGAAATTACGGATATAAACTAATGGATACTAACTTAGCGGTATGAAAGGCCCTGAATTTGACACCCTAAAATGATCATGAATGAGCACTATCGAAGAGTCCAATACTAAGACGAAATAGCTACATGATCAATTATCACGCTGATGAAGATAATTTATCGAAGAACCAATCACATTTAAGATAGCGAATCTAGGATTTCGACCCGAAATCCATTCATCCGTATGATTAAGTAGGTTTTGGCATTACAGATTATGTCAGTTGGTGATGAAAACCCCAAATCGAATTTTCAATTCCAAGTTCTAACTCTAAATATTAGAACCCACTCCGCACACCAATTTATAATCTTACTAAGTGGTTAAAGTTTTTCAAGGTCGTTTTGGTGTCTCCCAAAGGTCGTCTATAAATTATAGTCTCGCCAATTATGATATAAACCAGTTAAGAGAGATAAAACAAACAAGACTAAAGAGGGTGGAAAAAACTTGTGACAAACAAATAACCACTGAAATTTAAATATACACATCAATAAATAGGTAAAATATAATTTTAATCGTTGAATTTCAAAGAGAGAAAAAAACAAAAGATCAAGTGAGGTAAAACAGAATAAAATATTAAATCTGTAAAAGAAATTCAGACATAATAATAAAAATAACAACGACCATTATCTTTACAATGAAATGGTTACAAAACTAATCGCAAGCAGTAGGAAACAGGCAAAGAATAGACAATCTAAATTATTTCATCCATTTCACTACAAGACACGAAACCAAAAATAGATAACTTTTAACTTTTAAAAGTACAGAAGTATGTGTTAGACAGAGAATCATCAAGCAAATAGCATCACATATAAGCATAGCATCTACGTAAAATCGGAATGTAGTTTGATAATAATAATAATAATAATAATAATAATAATAATAATAATAATAATAATAATAAAAGTAATGAAAAATAATAA